AGAGCTATTTGGCTGATCTGGGTGTGCTGTGTGTGTCTCCCTATCTGGCTGGCCCAAATGCCATCATTTCTTCCCTCCCCATGGCTGCAGGAAAAGACACTCTGAGGAGTGAGCCTTGGCTAGCGATCCAGCAGCCTGAGTCCATTCCCCAACCCCCAGGGGCACATGTGAGCCATGGAGGGTGGGGGTGGGTAAGCCAAAGGCCGATCAGTTGCTCGAGGGAGCCACAGGGAACAGGAGAGGATGAGCAGGGCAGCAAGGGCTTTCCAAGAATGCTCCTGGACCATCTGTATCAGAATCACCTGGGGAGGTGTTTCAATACAGATTCCAGGTTGGGCCCATTGGCTGACACCTGTATTCCCAACATTTTGTAAGATCTGGGCAGAAAGATTGCTTGAGCTTGAGATCAGCCTAGGCAACCTAGCAAAATCCATTTCTACAAAAAAGATTTTATAAAAGACAGCCAGGTGTGGCGGCATGCGTCTGTAGTCTCAGCTACTTGGCAGGCTGAGGTGGGAGGACCACTAGACCCCGGGAGTTTGAAGCTGCATTGAGCCGTGATAGTCACTGGAGTCCAGCCTGGGAAACAGAGTGAGACCTTGTCTCAAAACAGACCAAAGGAAACAAAGCCCAGGTTCCTGGGCCCCACCTCCTCAGAATCTGACCTGGTATCACCCGAGAATCTGCACTTTAACAAGTATGCCTAGTCGCTCTGATTCACAGTGAAGTCTGAGGATCTTTGTAGCAGAGAATAAAGGAGTCTGCTCCAGCTGACTTGTGGACCTGCCTATAGCAGGTCCTTATGATGAACTAAGAAGTTCATAATAATCATACCAGCTGCTGTGGCTCAGCAGGGGAGCAGTGTACCCATCCCCACTCCATATTTCCCTCTTGGTGTTAGGGGGTTCAGTTCTGTCCCACTGAGCCCACTAGAACGGGGACACAGAACAGCGAAAGTGATAGTGGCTGCTGCATCCGTCAACATTGGATCCCTCTGGTGTTGGCTGGGACATTTCTTTGGGTGATAGATGGACCAAGGGAAAGCTTGTTTGCCTGATAAATATTGATCCATTGGGTTTACGAGTCAGTGCCCAGTTTCCTCACCAGCTTTCAGCCCGGGGAGGCCAGTCATCCTTCTTGGACCCCATCTGTGCATCCTGGCCTTCTCTGAGAAATGGGGGGTTGGACAGGCTCACCAGAGTCCCACTTGACTCCTCTTCCCACCTAACCTGGGCTAATAATTAGCCCTGGTTTTCTTTGCAGAGAGGAATGGTCATTTGTGCCCCTCTGAACTTCCTGCTCACAAACTGAGCCAACAAAGATGTGTTTCTTAGAGGGATGCCAGAGATGGGGAGTGGGGGTACGTGCCTGCTTCAGCCGCAGCCGCAAAGCCAGGTTTCCCTGGGGCTGGGGCAGGGGACGTGGGGTGATAAGTTTTGGGTCTTCTTGCTGGGGAAAGCGCTCAGACAAGTGTGGAAAGTCACCCAGCCACACCCCTTTCTCTATGGATCTAGAAGGAATTCCCGGGCTCTGTTGCCATTTTTATTTGAGATGGACTAGGTGGGACTTGGGACTTCTTCAGAGAAGACTCTGGGAGGGCCCTAGGATCCAGCTACTAGGATGGGGCTCCCTGCTTCACCCTTACTTTCTCTCTGGGATGTTCCATGGCCCCATTGTATTAGGCTTCTCCAGAGAAAAAGAACCAATAGGAGATTTATATATGTCAGAGAGAGAGAGATTAGAAGGAATTGGCTTATGTGACGATGGAGGCTGAGAAGCCCCAAGATCTGCAGGCAGCAAGCTGGAGACCCAGGAGAGCTGACGATATAGCTGCTGTTGGAGACTGAAGGGCTGAGGACCAGGAGGGACGATGCTGTAAGTTCTCATCTAAAAGTTGGCATGCTGAAGACCCAAGAACAGCAAGTATTTTAGCTTTAGTACAAAGGCCAGAAAATATCAATGTCGGCTGGGCACGGTGGCTCCCAACTGTAATCCCAGCACTTTGGGAGGCCAAGGTGGGTGGCTCATGAGGTCAGCAGTTCGACACCAGCCTGGTCAATATGGTGAAATCCCGTCTCTACTAAAAATACAAAAAATTAGCTAAGCGTGGTGGCGTGAGCCTGTAGTTCCAGCTGCTCGAGAGGCTGAGGCAGGAGAATTGCTTGGACCTGGGAGGTGGAGTTGCAGTGAGCCAAGATGACACCACTGCACTCCAGCCTGGGCAACAGAGCAAGACTCCATCTCAAAAAAAATAAAGAGAGAGAAGAAAAGACCAACATTCAAGCTCTAGCAGTTAGCAAAAATAATTCCCTCTTACTCAGCCTTTTTGTTCTATTCAGATCTTCAACTGATTGGTTGAGGCCTACCCTCATTAGTGAGTACCATCTGCTTTACTCTGTGTACTGATGCAAATCTTATCCGGAGGCTGGGCTTGGCGGCTCACTCCTGTAATCCCAGCACGTTGGGAGGCTGAGGTGGGCAGATCACTTGAGGTAGGAGTTCAAGACCAGCCTGGCTGACATGGTGAAACCCTGTCTCTACTAAAAATACAAACGTTAGCCAGGCATGGTGGTATGCACCTGTAATCCCAGCTACTCAGGATGCCGAGATGGGAGAATCACTTGAACCTGGGAGGCAGAGGTTGCAATGAGCCAAGATTGTGCCACCGCACTCCAGCCTCGGCAACAGAGCAAGACTGTAACTCAAAAGAAACCCCAAACTTATCCGGAAACTCTCTCTCTCTTTCTAATAAATCGCTATTCTGAGGAAAAAAAAAAAGTCACAAAAACAACTGGTCCTATCATACCTTTCCTCTGCCTTCATTTTCCTGGTACAAAGAAAACATTTTTAAAGCCCAACAATAAATCAGAAAAAAACTAAATAGTAAAAAACAAAAAGTGAAAGAGAGTGAAAGGCGCTAACGGAGAAGGCAAAGTGAGGAAAAAAAGAGGATATAAAATGATCCAGAGAGGTATCATATATATGACCAAAAATCAAGGATTAGAAGAAAATACATTCGTCATGATGGCTATCAGTGGTCTCGGGGTGATATTAGCCATCCCAATTAATATGTTTTCTTCAATGATATCAAATAAATATCAGTGCCCTTTACAGCCTGACTTTTTTTTTTTTTTTGAGATGGAGCGTCTCCGTCACCAGGCTGGAGCGCAGTGGCGCAATCTTGTCTCACTGCAACATCCGCCACCTGGGTTCAAATGATTCTCCTGCCTCAGCCTTCCAAGAGCTGAGAACACAGGCACACACTACCATGCCCTGCAAATTTTTATATTTTCAGTAGAGACAGGGTGTAGCCTTACTTTTATAATAGAACAGCCTTTAACTGGACATGGATCACAAAAGGAAGGGAACATATATTCAGTGCTGACTATATGCAAGGCATTGTTTTAGACACCAAAGCTGTCTTCTCATTTGATCTCTGCAATCACTGTGTGAAACAGGCACTATTCCTGACTTAAGATTTCGACACCAAGGCTCAGAGCAATCCATAAAACAAATGACAAAGTGGGTAGCCCCAGTAATTGTCCCTGTTTTTTATCCTCTGTTCAGTATCATAAGCATCTGTACTTAATGAAAAAGAAAAGGCATAAAAAGAATAGTAAAAGAAATAAAAATTTCAACAAAGAAAAAAAGGAAAAATAGCCATTCTTTTACCTCTCTGGATGGGAATGGAACTTTACCAGACTGCTAGAGAGCTGTCTCTGCTGTAAGTCCTCACTGAGCCAACTCTGTTCATCTACTAGTCCTTCTAGCATCAGCAGCAACAGAGAAAAGAAGAGAGAAGAAGCAATACGCAAATGGCGCAGTGAGACATGAAGCCACAGTTAACCCTGAGAAACAAAAAAATGCATTAGCACATACTATGACTAAAAAAGCCCACTATGTTAGTACTTAAGCTTTTGATAGTATTGCATAGTTTTCCCGAGAAGCAGGACAATGCATTAGCACGTACTATGACTTAAAAAGCCTGCTATGTTAGTACTTAAGTTTTTGATAGTATTGCATAGTTTTCAAATCAATGTCATATTATTTTTTTAATCTTTAAAACCCTGTAAGTTGGAATTCAAACATAGGAGCAAAAAGAATAAAAAAGAGAGAGAAGTTAGAAGCACAGGAAAGCAGCTAAGGGAAAGGAGTAAGAGGGAAACACATATGATAGGAATTACCAGTATTCTTCATTCATTCAATACATATTTATTGAGCACTTTCCATGGGAAAGACTCCATTCCAGGTTCTAAGGGAAAGCCTACTATCTAGTGGAGGAAAAAGACGTTCATTAATCATAGACGTGTGTCATTGTGAGTGTAATAGTGCTATAAAGATAACGAGCTATGATCATGTATAACCAACAGAGAGTTGTTGAAGGTAGAGTTGAAAGCCAGAATGGAGTGGGGTGAGTAGTTAGTAAGAGAGATGCTAATGGAGACAGAGAGTACAGGCAAGTGAGTCTTTTGGAAAAAAAAGAGTAAATGGGCTGTAGCTACAAAGAAAGTTGGGGCAAAAGCAGGGGTGTCTTTCTCTTTTTTTTCAACTGGGAGAAATTTGAACATGGTTAAATGCAGACAGAGGAGAAAGATTCAGTTGAGAGGGAGGTTACTTACGTATTAGTGTGAGGGATAAATATTGGTATGTGTCCAAAAAAACTGCTGCTCTTTACAGAACCACACATGTCAGAAAGAGGCATCTATAGCTGCTAATGACCAAAGTAGGAAACTTCAGAGCAGTTTCCTGATGAAATAACATTTATGAAAAACCAATACCATGGTTTATTTCACAGTAGAAAAACAAGTTTGTGTCGGGTGTAGTGGTATGCACCTGCAGCTTCAGCTACTCAGGAGGCTGAGGCAGGAAGATTCCTTGAGCGCCAAGAGTTTGAGGCTGCAGTGAGCCATGATTGTACCACTCACTCCAGCTTGGGTGACACAGTGAGACTCCATATATATATATATATATATATATGGACAGAAAAAGAGAGAGAGAGAGAGAGACAGAGAGAGAGAGAGAGAGTGTGTGTGTGTGTGCGTGTGAGTGAATCTATATTCCAATAACTTACCTGTTGTCTTTGGTTTCCTGGTATTTCTTGATCCTGGGATTCTACTGAAGCAACTTTTTCCCAAAGAAGTAATACTTCCTGGGTAAGGCATTCCACAGCTGGTATGTCTTCAGGAAAATCAGTTGTATTTGCAGGTCCTAGAAGTCAAAAAGTAAGTGTAAACATGAAAATAGTAGTCAAAGTTTCATGCAGTTGACAAGCACAGACAAACGTTCTTGAAACAGTCTGCCTATACTTTCAAGTAAGATATTGATAAGCACCGGGCAAGGGATTCAATGTGTGCAAATACTGTCTGAAGATGCCCTACAGGTAATCTGAGATGTGAACATTTCCAATGGTCTGTAAAAACTTTGGAAGAACCTTTATGAGGTCTTCTTTAGTCTGCATTTTCCTGGTCAGAGGCTCCATATCAGCAGCCTGCACCTGTGGCTCTTCCTCCCACACCCGTGGCTCTTGTTGCACCTGAGGCTCTTCCTCCCGCACCTGCGGCTCTTCCTCCTGCACTTGCGGCTCTTCTTACATCTACAGCTCATCTCGCACCTGAAGCTCTTCTTCCTGCACCTGCAGCTCTTCCTCTTGCACCTGCAGCTCTTCTTCTTGCACAGCCATCATGGGCTGTAGAGCAGAAAGTTCCAACTGTGAATAGAGGAAACAATATCTGCCATGTTTACATTTTAACACGGAGACAAATGCTTTTGCATATCATATCAGTATCAGCCAGTAATGCAAGAGAAAACGAGATAAGAACAGGGCTCTACAAGATCAAATAAAAATATCCATGCAGTATAGCAACAAATAAACGATGTTTTATGGGAAGATGTAATAGTTGTTTTTAATGACATCTTCCACCATAACCGGCATCATAAAACACATCAAATTTGTTTAACAAGCCTATTATGATACTGAAAAAGAATGGTGACCATTAGCAGAAGCAATAAGAGACAAAGTTTTTATGTAAGTAATTCAGCTAATAGAGGAAAAAAATGATAGCATTAGGATATCTCCATTTTGCAACCCTTAATGAATTAATGGATTAGGCATCAAACACCAAAAGCTGCTAACATCACAAGAGATCACCAAACAGTACATGCCTCCAGATGGAAGAACATGCCACCACCTCTGAAGGAATCCTGCAAAGGGCTAGCACCATGCCCTCAACTTTCAGTGTTCTCAACAGAAAATGATAAATACTTGGTTATGACAAAGTTCATTAAAACTCATCATAGGCTGGGCGCCATGGCTTGCGCCTGTAATCCCAACACTTTGAGAAGACCAGGTGGGTGGATCATGAGGTCAGGAGTTTGAGACCAGCTTGACCCAAATGGTGAACCCTCGTCTCTACTAAAAATATAAAGATTAGCCAGGCATGGTGGTGAATGCCGGTAATCCCAGCTATTCAGGAGGCTGAGGCAGGAGAATCACTTGAACCGGGGAGGTGGTGGTTGTAGTAAGTGGAGATCATGCCATTGCACTCTAGCCTGGGTGACGGAGCAAGACTCTGTCTCAAAAAAAAAAAATCATGATAATATCCACACCTGCTGACATTTACTATCCCACAGGCTCTCTAACAAATGCTTTATGTATAGTTAATTCTTTTAACAAACCCAGTGCTCTGGTTCCTGCCTGCTTTTCCCACTTTAGTATCTGCCATTTTACTCCTCACTCACGACTCTGTAGGTACACTCGACTGTTTCTGTTCTAGGAACACCAGACTTTCTCTTAACTCTAGGCCTTTACAAGTACTACGCCCTTTGCCTGAAATATCTTTCCCAGGCATTTCTCTGATCCTCAGGTCCCAGCTTACGTGTCATCTGCTCAGGGAAGCCTTCTTTGGCCACCCTATTTAAGATGGTCTCCATCCATGTTACTTTCTATCATTTCCCTCTTATCACTTACTATCATCTATAACTATATCGATCTGTTTATTGTCTGTATCTCCCCAGTGGAAATTAACTACATAGAGCCAGAGACCTTGCTGATTTCATTCACTACCTTATCCCCAGCACTAGCCCAAGTTGAGAGAAGGTTCCCATATAGTTAATGAATGAAGGAGTGAATCCTCACAACAATCCTATAACTCCTCTTTGATTTATACGTAAGGTGACTTCTAATCTTCAATTTACAGACAAGATGATTGAGAGAAATTAAGGAACTTGTCCAAAAATCACAGGGCTAGCTCGTAAGTGGTAAATCTAGAATGTGGACTCGGGGAAGCTGACTCAGAGCCACCAGGCAGTAATCTTTCCAGTAGATGCTGCATATCAATACAGTCTTTATGGTAAGGGCAAGTTATTTTAAATAAACCCTTTAAAGCAACTTAGCAATAGCTAAATATCACCCCTTCAGAACACCCATTCATAGGCATTAGAATTTCATGATCCTGAAAACAGGACAGAACCAAAAGTAACATTACTCTGGATTTGGTATATGTGAGAAAAACAGGAAGAGCATGTGGAAACTAAAATACCTGACATGAATAATCAGATAACTGCTAAGGTAGAACCACAGAAAGTAACAAAGACTAGGGGATTTTAAAAACTGGTATTTCTTCAATGCCACACATTCTCATATCCTAAAAACTAACTGAGTCAAAAACATGAGTCTGTTTGTAAGCAGAAATATGGTAATAAAATCAAAAGATAAAATATGTTAATTCCATCACAAATACAACCACAGTTTCCATATTACAGATCTAGCTATGGCAAAAGGTAGGAAAAATCCTAAGGAGCTATTTAGACTAGCTAGCTAAAGTTAATTTAGGAAGCCACGACACTGACTGATCATCTAAGAGAGATGCCAGTGTAACAAACAAGTCTCTAACTCTGCACTGTGGTCCTATTTCCTCAACATCACAGTTGAATATGCAACTAGCTGTGTATATATTTAGGAAATACATATTTCCTGTCTATATTTAATTCTTTTAACAAACCTAGTGATCTGGTTCCTGCCTGCTTTTCCAACTTGAATGTCAGCCATTTTACTCCTCACTCATGACTCTGTAGGTACACCAGACTTTTTCTGTTCTAGGAACAAAAAAAGAAAATATATATAGGAAAGGCAGGGGGGTGTGAATCTCTAAGGCTGAAAGGCGTCTTCTAAAAGAACTGATGAAAAGTCTATGCTCGAGAGAGTTAAAGCATAAGATGGGAAAAACGAATCTTAGGAATTACGTGAAGTCACAAAAGACAGGAGTTTGAATCAAAGCTTTGGCATTTATTAGTTACATGACTATTCTCCACTCTCATTCTATAAGGGAAATCAGTGTTTCAGCTTCTTCATCTATAATAATGGGGCTGACACCATTTACTTCATATAGCGTTTTAAGCATTAGTGCTAATTTAAATACCTAGCACAGTACGTTGCATATGAATACTCAATAAATATTGACTATACTCAAGTTTCTCCTTTCATGTTTCTAAAACTAATTTCATGGGTCTAATGTCATAACTCTAAGCAGCAATCACATAGTATTTCCTATTTACACTAGTTATTTACTATTATTATTATTTTTGGAGGCGGAGTTTTGCTCCTTTCCTAGGCTGGAGTCTGAGGGCATGATCTCAGCTCACTGCAACTTCTGCCTCCCAGGTTCAAGTGATTCTCCTGTCTCAGCCTCCCAAGTAGCTGGGATTACAAGCACCCACCACCATAGCTGGCTAATTTTTGTATTTTCAGTAGAGATGGGATTTTGACTTATTGGCCAGGCTGGTCTCCAACTCCTGACCTCAAGTGATCAGCCCACCTCAGCCTCCCAAAGTGTCAGGATTACAGGCATGAGCCACCACACCCGGCCTTTATAGTTGTTTTAGTCCAATTAGCAATGGGAGTGAGAGTTGTGTTTTACCAGCACTTAGTAAGTTTTAATGGTCCCAGTATAAAAACAGGAGCATCTTGTTAAGATAATGTATATAAAAAATAACGTATATATTTCCCCAAAAAGAAAAAGGTCATACCTGGCATTTGGACTCAGATATTCTACTTGGAGAATTATACGCTTTTAAATAGAAACTATTTTGAAAGAAAAAATAATAGGGATTTAAAAATTAAGACTTGACTAGAAAACTCACCTGACTTTCTCTTTCTTTTTTAGCCATGAGTTCAAGTTCCTCTTTGGCATTACTCAGTTCTTTTCCAGCCCTGCCACTGTATTCAAGTCTCCTAAAATGAAAATAGAGTGCTAGTTTTAATTGCTATGAACATAATGTGATATCAGCTGCCTTCTTTGAGGAATTTACTGAGGACACATTCCAATAATAAGAAAAAAATAAAACATATACACAGATTGTTCTTTGTAGCACTATTTATAAGAGCTAAATACCACAGTCATCCTGCATTCCATAAAGAAAAGATTGAATAAAGTATAGTATATTCACAGATGAAACTATATACTGATGTAAAAAAGGAATAAGGATGATCTTTTATCAACTTATATGGAGTGATTTAGAAATCCTGAGACTATGTTAAGGAAAACAAGCTACATGCTTAAGAATACATCTAAGGTAATAGGTTTTACATTAGGAAAAGGGGGAATAAGAATATACATATATACATTACATATACACAGATGATTCTTTTGCCGATTTTTGCAAAAAGATACACAGGAAGAATAACCAAGAAATGAAACTGATTACCTTCAGGAGATTAGTGGAAACAGGAGTGAGGGATAGGGAAAGAGATGGAACATCTGAGTATATCATTTTATATACTGGAGTTTTGAACTGTGTTAACGTTTAATCCTAATATGTAAGTCAGCTTGTCAATTAATGGGACATAAAAAACCTAAAATTCAATCCTAATATCAACAAATGAATCTATATAGTAAATAGATAATAAAACCACCCAGAAGATAAAACAAATTAATCCAAATAATTTTTGAACTCACTAACTGAACACTGTCAGTGCAAAATACCTTAAGGATAAAAAGAATCACAAAACTACCTTAAGGATAAAAAGAATTACAAAAAAAGGTAAACATTACAGAATACATTCACTGTTGATAGTGGTATTTATGTAGTAATTCTGAAACTACTTTTGCATAGTATACTATTCTGCAAATGTGTAAATATTTTGAAATATAGTGACGTTGTAAGTAATCAGGGCTCTCAAGGAGATACAAATATGAAATGAAGGAAAAAGAACCTATACTGTTAAGTTAGAATTACAGAAGTCAGTATTAAATCTTCGTATGTATACAAATACATACATATATACTTAAAAATATTCACTGCTAGCTCTGTTCACTTAAAAGGGCCTAGAAGCAAAAGGTATTCATGTGGCAATGAAGACATCTTGTGCCTAGATCACAGTTTGTCAATGCCATTACCCACTGAAAGGAACCAGGGAGCTCTTTAGGATAATGGCTGATTCTGGGACTGAGGCAGGTAAAGTAAAAGGTAATCATAGAACATCTTACTGTGCCAGAAACTGTGAAAGGACGAAAAACAAAGAATCATGGCTAAATTGAGGAATATTCGCAGTCCTGAATTCTTCTCTCGTGGTTAGAGGAATATTCGCAGTCCTGAATTCTTCAAAAGCCAGTCTCGCTAAAAAGAAATAAAAGCTAGGCCAGGCGTGGTGGCTCACTTCTGTAATCCCAGCACTTTGGGAGGCCGAGATGGGCAGATCACGAGGTCAAGAGATCGAGACCATCCTGGCCATGATGAAACCCCCTCTCTACTAAAAATACAAAAATTAGCCGGGTGTGGTGGGACGCGCCTGTAGTCCCAGCTACTCCGGAGGCTGAAGCGGAAGAATCGCTTGAACCCAGGAGGAGGAGGTTGCAGTGAGCCGAGATTGCGCCACTGCACTCCAGCCTGGTGACACAGCAAGACTCCGTCTCAAAAAAAAAAAAAAAAAGTAAAAGCTAAACAATTGTTCTAGATTAGAGACTAAGAGACATGACAACTAAGCACAATGCATAAGCCCTGGCTTGGGGGGTATCAAACTAGCTATACAGAACATTATTGGGACAAAAGGAACTCTCAATGTGGACTGCCTATTAGACACTAAGCCTATATCAAGGTTAAATTTCCTGAGTATGATAATTATATTGTAGCTATATAGAAGAATGGCCTTGTTCTTAGGAAATACTGACGTATGCAGCATAAAGTGTCATGATTTCTGTAAGAAATTCTCCAACGGTTCAGAAAATACATCCACATATATGTTTGTGTACATACAAAGAAATAAGGCAAATGTGGCAGAATGTTAACAACTGGTCTGAATAAAAACGTATATGAGTCTTCACTATACTATACTTGCCCCTTTTCTGTAGGTTTGAAATTTCCAAAATACAAAATTTAGAGAAAAGTACACTTTTTTAAAAAGGCAAAGAATAAATAAAACAAATCCAACATTATTTTACTCTTTGATTAGTATAAAGTTTTCAAACTAGAGAATGACAACTCGTAAGACTTTTCTAAACCATCCCCTGAATGGAGCTAGGCTTGGCAAATAACTCAGTGTACACGGCCTACCCTTCCTGACAGTTTCGTGTAGGTGATGTCGAGTTACCGCGAGTGGCCCCAGACTTGACAGACACCCTGGGAAAGCTGTCAGCACATGGCCCTGCTGTGCAGGACTGGAACCACTGCCTCCTGCATTTCTGAATCCCTGCAAAACTATCTGAAAAGGAGAACAAGGACAGACTTTCTCTGGGCCAAATTGTGACCCCAAAGCAATAACCTCAACTGAACATATGGTAAGGACAGTTCTTCAGCCTTTCAGAGGAATTCCTAACTTATTTCTTCCATTAAGGTAGGAAAAGAATCTCAGCCAAACCTATTACTCGCAGTCAGCGGGTTGGCGGCGACCCAGGCGCTGACAGCCTCAGCGGCGTCCAGAGGGTCTGCGGCGTCCACGCCGAGCTCGGCGCGTTAGCGACGTCCCATGCGCTAACGGCGTCGGCGGCGTCCCAGGCGCTGATGGCATCGGCGGCGGGGTCGCTACGCCAGGAGTGTGGGCGGCTGCGAGGTAATCTCCTCGGGAGCATCCCCGGCGCGGTCAGCGGTTCGGCGGCTTCCCAGGGGCTTCGGCGCATCCACGGCGTCCCAGGCGCTGACGGCGTCTGTGGGGTCTGCGGCGCGACGGCGGCGTCTGACGCAAGGTCGGCGCGCTGGTGGCGTCGGCAGCGTGGTCGGCACATCTGCGGTGTCCGAGGCGGGTCGACGGCGTCCCATGTGCTAAGGGCGTCGGCGGCGTATACGGTGCGTCGGCGGCGGCCGAGGCCCTTTGGCGGCGTCTCAGGCGCGGATGGCATCGGCGGCGGGGTCGGCGCTTCAGGAGTGTTGTGGCACGGTAGGCTGGTCGGGGGCATGCACGGCGGGGTCAGCAGTTCAGCGGCTTCGCAAGCGCTAACAGCGTCAGTGGCCTCGGTGGCGCGGTCCGAGCGTCCTGGGCGACCGCGGCCTTCTAGGCGCTGACGGCGTCCTCGGCTTCCGCAAGGCCTGCGGCGCGGTTGGCCTATCCGCGGCGTCCGAGGCGTGACGGCGCCGTCCCAGGCGCGGATGGCATCAGCAGCGCGGTCGGCGCATCTGGAGTGTCGGTGGTGGCCGCGGTGCGGTCAGTGGGTTGGCGGCGTCCCAGGCGCTGACAGCGCCAGTAGCGTTGGCGGCCATTGGCGGCGAGATAGGCGCCTTGGGGGCGTTAGCGGCGCGGTCCGCACTTCGGGGGATGTCCGCGGCGCGGTCGGCGTAGGCTGCGTCCAGAGGATCTGTGGCGTGGGCGCCGAGGTCGGCGCGTCAGTGACGTCAGCGGCGACGGTGGCGTCCGCGGGGTCTGCGACGCGACGGCGGCGTCCGAGGTACTTTGGCGGGATCTGCAATAGCATCGGCGGCGCGCGGGAGTGTCCGCGAGTTAGGCTGGTCGGGGACATCTACGGCGCGGTCAGCGTTTCCGCGGCTTCCCAGCCGCTTATAGCGTTAGTGACGTTGGCCGCGCGGTAGGCTGGTCGGGGACATCTGCGGCGCCGTCAGCGATTCAGCGGCGTCCCAGGCGCTGACCGCGTCAGTGGCGTCAGCGGCGTCAGCGGCACAGTCGGCCCGTCCCAGGGGCTGACGGCGTCCGCGGTGATGCCCTCGGTGCGTTGGGGACAGCCGCGGCGCGGTCGGCCCATCCGCGGCGTCTGCAGCGCGACGGCGGCTTCCGAGGCGCCTCCGCGGTGTCCCTGGCCCGGATGGCATCGGCAGCCCAGTCGGCGCGTGGGGAGTGTCCGTGGCGCGGTAGGCTCGTTGGGGGCGCCCGCGGCGCGGTCAGCGGGTCGGTGGCGTCCCAGGCGCTGACAGCGTCAGTGCTGTCGGCGGCGCGGTAGGCGCGTCGGTGGGCGTCAGCAGCGACGGCGCGGTCCGCGCGTCGGGGGCATCCTCGGCGTCCAGAGAGTCTGTGGCGTCCGCGCGTCGGGGGCTTCGCCAGGGAGGTCGGCGCGTCAGGGGCGTCCGCGGTGCCACGGGGGCGTCCCATGCGGTAACGGCGTCAGCAGCGTCCGCTGCATCTGCGGCGTGTCAGGGACGTCCGCGGGGTCTGTAGCGCGGCTGCGGCGTTCGAGGCGCGGTTGGCGCGTCGGCGGGGACTGGGCATCAGCGTCTCGGTAGGCTTGGGCCACGCATGGGTGGCGCGGGCCGGTGCGTCGGCGGCGGGCTGTCTTAAGGTTTACCGGGACGTCCACGCAGCGTTTCCAAGGTGAGTGCGAGGCGAGGCGGCGGCAGGGATCTGCACTGAAAGTTTAAGGTTTAGCAGGAAGTCAAGGTTCAGGGGGAAATCCACCCAGCCTTTTCGAGGTGAGGGCACTGCGCCAAGCCGGGAGAGCGGTGAGTCCGGGACCCGTGGCGCACAGCTGGGTCAATGTGCGCGCCGGGGGCCTCCACAACTTTCGCTGTGCCAGCGGAGCGGGCGCTCCGGGCCACTCGAGCGCTTAAGTTCCCTGCGTTGGATTCCTCGCCGGCCGCAGCCCTGCTCTTGTGGGCTCTGGGGAAGAAACTCACGGGCGGGTCTTCCTGTGGCATCCCAGCGGGTGGAGGGATGGAGCAGCTTCGGGGGCACATCCTAGATCTGGTGAAAGACATTGACCCTTTGCCCCACCTTCAGAGCATTCTTCTCTCCCAGTGTTTTCTCCTGTTGAGCAAAGTTAAGAAGCAGATAAATTCCTTCATCTGG